TCCCGCCTGTCCAATAGTTCTTTGAAGCTCGGTGCCAGCTCACACACGAGTCATCAATTCAGAGTTTTCTTCTTCTTCTTCTTCTTCTTCTTCTTCTTCTTCTTCTTCTTCTTCTTCTTCTTCTTCTTCTTCTTCTTCTTCTTCTTCTTCGGTCTGCTCAACACACACACACACACAGCCTCCACGTCCACCAGCAGCTCCGGTCATCTTCTTCCTCGTTCCACCTGAAACCTCAGCAAGTTCCATCTCCGCACAACCCCCTACGGACTGCCCAGCGCCCCAGTACTGCGTTCCTGTTCGTCGAGCAACCTAGCTCACTCGTGCATCAACCAGTCACGACCCTCGTCGTCCACCCAAACCACCCGCGACGACACTGCCAACGACCCCCGCCATTGACGAGCAGCAGTGTTGTTGCAGCTTCTTCGACAGTGCTGCTGCTTCATCTCACGATGCACAGCAGCCTCACGCTGCCTCGTCGCCCACCAGCAGCTGAGCAGCTCGTCGTTAACCATCGTCGAGGTCGTCCACCAGCAGCAGCTTCATCTCACGTCGAGGTCGTTGGCAGTCTTGGTTCGAGTTTTCCGTTTCCGTTCGAGTTCGTCGTTGTTCGTTTTCGGTTAGTTGGTTTAAGTTTCATTTCTGTCCGTATTTTGTTTGATATTATCGGATCTGAAATCAGTATATGTTTGATTCTTTTCTTGTTCGTTGTTTTTCATTTCTTGATTATTTCTTCAGTTTGTTTTTCTTCATTTGTTCTTGTTTAGTTTTAATATAGAAGTGTGTTAGTTTAATCACTTGAATCCTTTATCTTGGTTATAATGTTGTTAGATTTAATTTGAAGTTCAATTGATTATTGAGTTTAGTGATTTGAATCTACTTGTTTGTTATGTTCAATTTGTTACTGTTATTGAATCTGAAAGTATGTTTGTTGTTAAAAATGTTGTTCAGTCAAAATGATTTCAGTTGTTTCTTTATTGTTCATCATATGGTTTGGTTCCCTGAATCCTTAGTNCATCATATGGTTTGGTTCCCTGAATCTTTAGTCTTTATTTTGATTATATTTGACATAATCTGAGTTTCTAGCTTAAAACTGTTGATGAAATTTGATTAGGAATTGGTTATAGCTGCTGTATTTTGGTTAATTGATTAGGTGAATTGGTTATAGCTGATGGGGGTAGAATGGTAATTTCAGAGGGTATTTTTGGAATTAAAAATTTGAACAATTATTTATTTTGAGTGCTTTGTCCACTAAGCACTAATAATATTAAAATAAGGTATTAAAATAATATAGTGGGGGACAAGACATATATTAGTGGGGAATAATACATTTGTTTAATAAAAATGGGGGACAAGACATGTAGTAGTGGGATTACGGGGCTCAAGAAGATGTGACCTTTTCTTTATTTGTTTAAAGTGGTCTGTTTTTTGGACATAAATAAGGGGAGTTTGGGCAGAATTAAGGACGAACTTTTTTAAAAAAAAAAACTTGGAGAGTCAGAGTTAGAGAGTTAAAAAAATAGACTGGATTTTATCATCAAAAAAATTCAGAGCTTAAGTTGAAAAGAAAACTGATTTGTCAGAACTTAAGAAATTCAGTCTTTGAGAATTAAAAAACTGAAAGTGAAGCCTTTCTTTACTACTGAGGATCAGAATATTGTTACTGCTTCTGTGGTTTGCATTTGGTACTACTGATTTTTGGATTGGTTTTCCTGGGTTTTCTTTTGGTTTTGGAGGGTTGTTTCATTGAATGCTTGGGTTTCTGATATTGGTATTGCTGTCGGGTTATTTTTGAATCTGTTATTGGATGTGGAATCATCTCTGTTGGTTTGAAAATCCATCCCTGGGTGTTCAATTTGCTACTGTTGTTGCTGATTGTTCTGGTTGCTTTGCTAATGCTGATCTTCCTCTTCTTTTACTTCCAATACCAGGTACATGGATGTAACCTTGTCGATATTGTAAGTTGAAATGTGAAAGCATGAATACATATGAAGAATGGAACTTTGAAGTTTTAATTTAGCTTTTTCTTTGTTTCTTTTACTGATTGTATTTAGGCTATTTCATGTATTATTATTCTGTAAATTTCTGTCGCTTTGTATAACTAGGCATCTTGTAGTGATGTATTAAACAATACTCTGCTTTAGTTTGATTATTAGGTAATATATATTTAAGCATGCTCATTACTGTCAAACTGTTTAATAAT